AAACGAACTTCTGCTATGCTTCTCCGAGCCTCTAACTTACTAGAGGCATAAATTCTTCGATTATTGGTCGATGCCACTAGGTGATATCGTACTTGGGTTTTTAAGTCGAGTGAGTTACTTGTTGTGGTCAGAGAAATAACTATAGTTAAGAATTCTTGTGATTTTTTTACTTAGTTAATACGTATCTTAATAAAAAGATTTTAATTTATTTCTTTATCATATTGTTAATAAATTAAAAGAATTAGAAGATAAAGATTATATTTATATATTGTTAATTTATTTATTAATATATTTAAATTAATAATTAATTTATTATAGATAGTATTGAATGCTATAATGCATTATCTAATAAAAATTTTATATTACATGCTCATATAATTTTTTGGTCTAGAAATATTCCTGCACTAACTAAATTAATGTGTCTTACTGGTTCTAATTCTTATATGGGATATCGATTTTGCTATTTAAAAAGAGTATATTGCAATGAAGCTAAACATATTTACTATCCATCACAATCACCATATAAAACACAAAATAATAAATATAATCCAAATAATTTGCTAATGCGAACTGTTCAAAGCTTTAATGAAGATATTCAATTAGTTCAAAATACTAATAATATCAAATCTAAAAAAGCAGCTATTCAAAATACTGGTAATTATATATTTTTATTTTTTATATAAATTGCTTTTTAATTATAGCAAATATTTATTATAATATTATTAATATATAGATATAAAAAGTTCTAGTATTTTAAATAATTTGCAATCAATTAAGTTTCTACAATCTTTTCTAGTAGATATAATGCATTTGTTTTTTGAAAACGGTGCAATTCATATCTATAAATATTGAACAGAAAATTTTTTTAAAAATCAACTCCTTAATATAAATAATTATATACTTGATTTTCAAACCTGGCGAACAATCGGAAATAAAATGCATTTAATTCGAAAAGATATTCCACTAGAATTTGGAAGACCACCTTGCAATATATTTAAACATTCAGCTAGATTTAAAGCATCAGAGTGGCATGATTGGATAACATTATATTCTGTATTATTTTTAAAAGATAAATTAATATGCAAGTAAGTTAAATTTCTAATAATTAATATTACTGTATTATTAATATTAAATTATATATAATTAAATTATTAATGCTAATATTTATTTTTGTAGATATCTTCTAGGTTGAATAGATTTTGTTAATACAGTAAAGTTATGTATGCAATATGAATTAACTAAAAATAATATATCAAAAATAAAGCAATTGCTTCTAAACTTTTATAATCATTATGAAAGGTAAATTAATTAATATTTCGGTTTAATTTTTTTAATTTTAATTTTTTAACTTATTTAAATTAATTTATATTATTATTTTAAAGAATATTATAAAAAAAAGCCTGAAAGACTTCCTGCAATAGTTATTTCTTTTCACTATTTACTTCATGTTACTGATAGTATTGTTAATTGTAGACCATGCTGGTCTTTTTGGCAATTTCCAATGGAACATTTATGTGGAATACTACTTCTACTAATTCATTCCAAATTACATCCATATATTAATCTTGCTAATAATGTATTATTAATTAAGTGATTTAATCATTTACCTTTTGTACAAGCTTATAAGTACATTAACATAACTAAAATTATGGCCTGATTATCTGGTCTATAGCAATGAAGAAAAAACTGAAGGATTAAATTTTCCTAGCAAAAAGTTTAAGCTTAATAGCTCCAAAATAAATAAATTAAAACAATTTTATTCTACTGAATTAAATATTCCAAAGTTAAGAATAAAGGTATTTTTATTTTTAATTAACTTTACTTTAAATTTATTATTAACATAATATAAATATTTGATTTTATTTTAGATTGAATTAATTAATGCAATAAAATTTGGACATTTAATTACAAGAGATGGACATCAAATTAGCAGTTCTTGGATAAAAAATAAAAATGATTATTCACAAAATAATTATTGTGTAGCAGTAAGTATTATTTTATATATTTGTACTTTTAATTGTTATTATTAATTAAACTTTAACTTATAATATAAATATAAATAATTAGATTCAAATATTTGAAAATTGTGAAATATATGCAAAAGTTCACTATTATGTTGTTCATACCTTTAATGATTCAACATATATGCTTGCATATATTCAATGAACTAATAATGTCCATGATGATATA